ATTAATTTTATTTATTAAAAGATGTTACATTTGTGCCTCAAGCTGAGGTCATTTGTCTTTTAAGTGTTCCTCATGCCCAGACACCAAGCCCACTGCTGCTAAGTCCATTCCAATTCAGAGAGACCCTTTAGGACAGTAGAGCTTCCCCTCACGTTTCCAAGGCTGTAGAGCTTTATAGAAGCAAACTGCCACATCTTTTCCCCATGGAGTAATGAGTGGGCTCAAACCACCTACCTTTTGGTTAGAAGCTGAGAGCTTCACCCTGTGCCACCAGGGTTCTTTGAGTAGGCAGTTTGATACAGAAGTAGGAAACTCAAGACTCACTCCCTCATTTTCTTCACACTCTGCTCAAAAGCTACCTGACTAGTGAGGGTTCCCTTACATCCCTGTATCATACAGTAGGTAGCTCACCCCTCTCCACTCCGAACACCTGCTTTCGATTTCACTTGTCTCCATAATACTTATTGCCATCTGGAACATCTGGGAAATTTCCATTGTCTTTTCTTTCCATTTCTCCATGCACTTTTTGAATCCCCCTCGTCTTTCTTTGCGTTTCTTTTGATTGCCTAGGGTTACTCTGAGTCAACATTGACTTGACATCACTGGCTTGGTTTTGTTGGTTTCAGTTGATAAGCCCACTTATCCAAGTAGAGTCTCAAACTTGGCATTTTCAATGCTGAACTCTTAATGCCCCTACTGTTAACGTTTGCCCTTTTCAATCTTCCTCATCTTAGAAATGGCATCACTGTGTTATCCAGTTGTTCAGATGAAAACAACAACCACAAAACCCTCATGATTGGGATTGGTTCCTCCTTGTCCCTCAGCTCCTGGTTGAGAGCCCAGTTGGGTAATCCTTCACCATGCATCTCTCATCCTTCTGATCTCCAGCTTTAATACCTGCATTCTGGCCCAGGCTAGCATCATCATCTCTTGCCTTGACCATTTTTGTTGTTGTTGTTGTTGTTGTTAAGTGCTGTCAAGTTGGTTCCAACTCATAGCAACCCTATAGAGGGTTCCCGAGGAGTGGCTGGTGAATTCCAACCACCGACCTCACAATTCAAACGGACCTTGTGGTTCAATGCATTACCCCACAGGGCTTCATCAGGACTCCATTATTAGAGCTCCTTAACTAGTTTTCCATTTCCATCTTAATAATCAAGTCTCTCTGCCACCCAGATCCTATTAGTCATCTGCTCAAAACCCACCTAGGATGTTACGCTAAACATAGCACCCTGTTGTTGTTGGTAGCTGCTGTTGACTTGGTCACTGACTCATGGTGACCGACAGAGTGGAACAAAACCCTGGCTGATCCCATGCCATCACCGTGGTCTGTCATACATCGGGAAGTGTGTGACCGATCAGGTTTTCACTGACTGGCTTTTAGAGGGAGATCTCCAGGGTCTTTGTCTGTTAGCTTCCCTTGTTTCTGTTGAGAAGTAAACTGTGCTATGTTCTGTTTCTGTGCTTTCAGAGGACTGTTGATGCTCCATTGTCAGCTCCTGGCAGCTTAGAAGATTTTCTTTGTATTTTTTTTTCTGAGTGTACAGTTTCTTGAATCTATAGCTTGATAATCTTTGTCAGTTTTAGAAAATTCTAAGCTTCAGATATTTCTTTAGTTCCAGTCTGTCCTTCCTTCCATCCTAGGTTTCTAATGTCATGTATTTTAGAACTTGTTCACCATGTCTCATAATTTTCTTATGTTCTTTTTTAGTATTTCCCTCCTTTTTCTTTTCCCCCCTGTTTTGGTGCATTAATCTGGATGTGTTTTACTAACCTACCTTCCAGGTCATGACTCTTGTCTTGTGCTGTTGGTAAGTGTCCTCAAGTTGGTTCCAACTCATGGTGACCCCTGTATAATGTAACAAAACCCCACTCGATTCTGGGCCGTCCCCACAATGTTTGAGCCCATTAGTCCACAGCTGCTGTATCAGTACATTTCATTCAGGGTCTTCCTGTTTTGCAGTGACCCTCTGCTTTAGTAAGCACGATGTCCTTCTCCAGGGACTGGTCCCTCCTGATAACATGTTCAAAGTCCGAGAGACAAAGTCTCAGTGTATTTGCTTCTAAGGAGCATTCTGACTGTACTTCTCACAAGACAGATTTGCTCACTCTTGTGGCAACCCATGGCATATTCAATAGTGTTCTCCTACACCATTAATCGAAGACATCAATTCTTCTCTGGTCTTCTGTATTTATTGTCCATTTTTCCCATACTTCTCTCTTCTACTGTGTCTGATATCCTCATGAATTCTTAAGTCAATGCATTATTCAGTTTTAGAGTTTCCATTAGACCCTTGTTTATAGATTCTAGATCTTTGGTAAAATTCTCCACTCTTACAGCTGTTTCCTTAAACTTAATTACCATTGTTATAATCGTGTTTACTTGGGAACCTCTTCCTCTTTTCCATTTCATTTTTTTTTGTAAATTTGATTTTAATCTGGTCTTATTCCTTGGCATGCCTGGTAATTTTGACTGAAGGTCAGATACTTTATGTGAGAATTTGAAGGGGCTGTGGATGAGGTCATCTTCTTCATGAGAACTGAATGTTCCTCTGGGCTGTCACCTTGTCTGCATAGGTCTGTTTCCACATTGTCCCTGTCCCTAAGGGGTAGTCCTGTGCATTCTCAGCAGGAGCCTGAGGTATTTGTCAGTATACTCTCACCTCCCCGCCCTGAGTTCCCAGCTTGGACTCCCGGCACCACAGCTTCAGCCTTTTAGCCTCTCAGCCGCTGTTTCCAGTTGGTTCTTGGTTTTTCTGCCCCCTTGGCTTTAGTTGAGGGGAGTTGCCTGCAGAGTTTTGGGATCCCTTTATCATTCAGCATCTAGCTTCAGCCTCTGTTGCCTCAGCCCAGCCCTTTTTCCTGGGGGGCAGGTCGCAGCTCTGAGAGCAACACGTTTTTCCAGCAAAAGAAACAAACTTGGTCAAGTTGAATCTCACTCCAGTTAGAGAAACGGACGTAAAAGGGGCCTTAGAGTCACTGTTGGCTCACAGCGACACTAGGAAATAAACAGAAATGCAAATAAAGATGAGGGGGCTTCAGAAGGCTCGTGGTCTTCCAGGTTAGGAAACGGCGCATGCCAACTTGTAGCTACACTACAGGACCGAGGAGAACCACCCCATAGAGCGCCCATGGCTGTCATCTTTACGGGAGCAGACTGCCTTACCATTCTTCCTCAGAGAAGCTGGTGGGCTTGAACCACCAATCTTTGGGTCACAGCTGAGTGCTTACACATTGTGCTACCAGGGCTTCTTGCCTTGATGGAAAGAGTGGGAACCTCTGGGGCTGTAGCCCCTTGTGCCCTACATGCTGCTTCCCATCATGTGATCTAGGTACAGCTTTTATTGTTGTCCTTGGCAAGAGAATATGTTTGACCCAGCTGAATCGATGCTGAAGGGACCCTGGTGGCTCGGTACCATAAGCACGCGACTGTAAGTCATAAGGTTGGCAGTTCAAGCCCACCAGCTACTCCATGGGGAAAAGATGAGGCTTTCTGCTCCTGCAATGATGTACAGCCTCGGAAACTCTATGTGGGTTGCTGTGAGGTGGAACTGACTCTGTGGCACTTAACGATGACAGCATTCTATGCTGAGAAACCCCTGGTGGTACAGTGGGTTAAGCGTTGGGATGCTACTGAAAAGGTCAGCAGTTTGGACACACCAGCCTCTCTGTGGGAGAAAGATGAGGCTGTATTTTCCTGTAAGGATGACAGCCTTGGACACTCTGGGGAGGCGTTTTTACTCTGTGCTGTGAGGTCGCTGTGAGTTGGGTTTATTCTGTGGGGGCCAGAAGTAGACTTCTCCCAGCACCTTTACTAAAGGCTTTCCCCATTTCCACTGCCGTATGACTCCATCCTGGTCTGTCTGCCTCCCTTTCTGACACCATGTGTTTCCACACGGAGGGCCCCAGCCACGTTGGACTTGGTTCCTCATTAAGTACACTGTAGGGAGCGGTGTCCTGTCTCAGGCAGCTCACGATTACCCAGTATCCCCAGTCCCTCTCTCTTGTCTCCCTCGTGCTAGAGTAAGGCGCCCTGGTGGCACTGTGGGTTAGGCACTGGGCTGCTAACCACGCAGTCGGCAGTTCGAGCCCACCAGCCACTCTGAGGCAGTGTGATACTGTGAAGATGTGCAGCCTCAGAAACCCTCGGGGCTGCTCTCCATCCTATGGGGTCGCTGCGAGTCAGGGATGACTCAATGTTGGGGGCGGTTTGTTTGTTTGTTTTCATGGTGGTATAAACTATGCTTCTCCCTGGTGTGGGATTGTTGTTGCTGTTAAGTGCCATCGAGTCGGTTCCAACCTATAGCGACCCTGAACAGGGGTTCTGAAGCTGTAAATCTTTACGGGAGCAGCCTCATCTTTCTCCAGTAGAGCAGCTGGTAGTTTCGAACTGTTGACCTTGTGGTTTGCAGCCCGATTCGTAACCACTGTGCTACCAGAGCTCCTTTGAGTCTCAAAAAAAAAGCAAATTAGATGAGTAAAAGGCTAGAATGAAATGAGTGCTGATTGTGGGAGAAATTAAATCTTTGAACTCTTGCTGGGGAGTAAGTACTGTTTTCCTTAATGCATTTTGTTATGGAATACTCACTAAAATACCACTTTTACACACGTATGGTATAATAATTAGTACCTGACATTCTGTTCATGCTGATGATCTGATTTAAAACTGCTTTCTTTATGTGCAAAGAGTATATTGTGTTCATTATCATACTATATAATAATTATGTTTAGGATTTTTAATGTGTTAATGATATATTGTTGTAAATCTTCACAAGTATGTAATCTGTGCCAACCGTTACCCCATCACCTCAGAAAGTGGCTGAGGGCTTCAAAAAGTTAGTGGGAAAACGGAATGAAAAGACCATGGAAGTTTGCCATGAACTTCTCAGAATCCCCCTCAGAGTTCAATAACTACAACTAACGAGAAAGCCCCTTTGTCTTCACCCCCCCTGTGCGAAACAAATCCTCCAGAGATGATGTTTTGTGTCTTCACGTGGCAGGAGTGGTTCTTAGGAAAGGCGCTCCGCGATGATGAGTCCACCATCATTCACCATTACGCCTTCTCGGAAAATCCTACGTCCTTTAAGTACCCAGACTTCGCGGCTGGCTGGGCCCTCAGCATTCCACTTGTAAACAAGTAAGAATTTGCTCCGCTTTTTGGGTGTGTGACTGTACGATCAGCTGTGGCAGATGTCCTCAAGGCTGTTGGGGACCAGGTGAGGAACCAGAGAGGCCTGAAGGCCCAGGGTTCATTCACTTGGTCGCTCACTCTTCCCCTGGCCTCTTGACACTGCCTTGTATTTACCTCAAAATAAGGCCAGGGATGAGTCTGGAGGTGAAGGGCGAGCTTGGGCGTGCACTGAGAGCCATACACATGTCAGCTTCATCACAGCTGCTGATGGCACTGGCTAGAAGCCATGTAACTTTGAACTTGGCTGACCTGACATGAAGCAGCGGCGGGCCCTGGGTTGGTCACTGACAGCTGACCGTGGTGTGCTTATGTTGACTTGACATCGTGGTTTTTGTTGTTACGTGCCAGCTCCATGCTGACTCAACAGAAGTGCAGATGGATTTGTCCTTGAGTTGGTCACTGCCGCCCCTGAGAAATTGTATCCTCATTTCCCCTTCTTTCTCCTCCAAGACTAGGGAATAATGTTCAAGGTTGAGAAAGGAATTAAACAGTCAAAGCCGGAAGGAGCATGTTCAAGATGTTTCGTTTCCCACAAAGAAGAGCGTCAAACCAGGGATGTCCTCTTGCCTCAGATCTGAACTCTGTGTCCCTTGTCCGTGCCCTTAAGCCCAGCTCTGACCTTTGGTGTCTTTGTAGTTTGAAGGAGATGAAAATCTAGAGTGTGGGCTTTGATCAGCGGTTGAAAACACTTGGCCAGAGTCCAAATTCCAAAGTTAACCTTGATAGAGTTTGCGTATGAAACCGCCTCCAACTGCGCAGTATTGAATTGGACAAGATCCCAGGGGCTGAAGCGGTTTTTTCCTCTCTCAATATATACTGGGATTTCTGGGATGGTGCGGTAGGGTCAGCATTGGACTGTGGACCGCAAGGTCGCCAGTTCAAACCCATCATGCTCCTCGGAAACCTTATACAAGGTCTCTCTGAGTTGGAACTAGCTCAATGGCACTTAACCAGAACCACCACCACCACAATTCTAGGGCTAAAGAAAGTGCCCATTTATTTTAGTGAGCAAGTCCAGAAGCTTTCACAGAGAACGTGCCCGGAGTTGGATCTTGAAGAAGAGCTGGGCACAGGCATGCTACACAGATATGCGACAGGAAGGAGCAGTGGGCAGGAAGAAGGGGCTCGGGTCAGCAAGTGCATCGGAGAAAGCTGGTGGAAGGTGGGGTACGGGGTGGGCAAGAATGTTGGAGATCTGGAGGCTGGGCTCTGGAGTTTGGGAGATTTTTGTTTGTTTGTTTCAGAAAGGAAAAGACTTGAAACAGTCAAGTAAAACTCATTCTTACCCCAAACTTCACCCATCCACTGCTCCCCAAACAAACTCCACAGACTCCTGGGAGGAATTAACAGTTGTCAGGCGCCCTTGAGTTCATTCGCACTCACGGTGACCTGTCTGAGAGGGACGTTGCCGCGGGGATTTCCCTGGCGGTAAAGTTGATGGGAACAGATTGCTAGGTCTTGCTTCCTCCTGTGGAGCTGCTGGGTGGGTTCAAACTACCAACCTTTGGGTGATCAGCCAAGTGCTTAACGGTGGCACCACCCGGGTCTTTTTCAAGTAGAAAACGGGAGAGTAGCAGCTTTTGTTTTTCTGCCATACTCGCTCGCCTTCTGTTGTTGCTGTCTGTCTGTCTCTTCATTATTTAGTGCAGGGACTCCTCCTGGATACCAGGAGTCTGAACTTCGCTGCTTCTTTTTAGCAGCATTTTATGTATTTTATTTGCACACATTCAAACAATGACTGTTACATTTGCAACAAACCTTGTATTGAATCTTTACTGATCCACAAGTAAATTTTCCTTATCTTTGCCCTCAAGGAAAGGAACCCTGGTGGCTCAATGGACTAAACATTGGGCTGCTAACTGCAGTGTTGGTGGTTCGAACCCACCAGCCACTGACTACTTCATGGGAGAAAGATGAGGCTGTGTGCTCCCTTAAAGAATGAGAGTCCCCGAAGCCCTGTGGAATAGTTCCACTCTGTTTAACAGGGTCTCCAAGAGTCAGAATCAGCTCTCAGTGGCATTGGGTTTAGTGTGTTTTGGGGTTTTTTGGTGTGGTGTTGTAGGATAAGCACCCAACCATAAGGTTGATTTGAACCGCAAGGTCAGTGGTTCAGACTCACCAGCCACTCCTTGGAAACCCTATGCAGGGTAGCTATGAGTTGGAACCAACTCGATGTAACTTAACAACAGGGAAATTAAACTCTTACTTTGATCTTAAGATTTGTATGTTTTAAAATCTGTCTTAAATATTTGAAAATGCCAAGAGTCTGTTATTCCTGTCTTACGCTGCTTCTGGCTTAAAGAAAAAAATCCACATTTTTTGTGTTTTCTAGGCTTTCCAAGAGGTTAAAGAACACCTCCCTGAAATCCGACTTTACAATAGATTTAAAACACGAGGTAGGTTCCAGTTTGAGTTGGCGTAATGTTTTAATGATGAAGAATTTACCTCCCATCTCCATCTTCTCCCTACCAGGTAATTTTCATGTCACTCTGGACCTTCTGTTTTCAGCCCAATTGAGTTGCGTAGGTAGAGAAGAAGGTTCAGAGAAGCATTGCATCTTGTGATTTTTGAAGCTTCATTTTAAATATCAGGTGAATAGTGTAACTGCCAATGAGATTCTGGTCACCTGCTGGTAACGTAGCCAGTACTTAGAAACAGTGCTCAGAGCAAAGTGTTTAAGGTGAACCAATACTCAGGGGCACAGGGAGCAGGAATCTTCCAGCTCTGCCTGCTCCACTGGAGGGCAGGCTGGGGTTTGGAAGAGCGGAGAAAATGAAGGTCACAGAACTTGTGGTCAGACATGGTTGTATCTTTTTCTCTTCCAGAGCTTAGGGTGGTCACGCCAGTATTTGGGATGTTCTCGTCCCAAGCATAGTTGTTGTTTCAGTAGTTCTTGTTTGATCTTTTCGCCTTGCTTCCCTAGAGAAGAGTTCCCCTCCTCATTTGAGCCACAAGTCCTGCTTTGGAAACGGAAAAGGCAGTGATTCATTATGGGCTGTGCTCAGGGAGGAAGTTAAATTTTAACTATGTTGTTGTCAAGTCGGTTCCGACTCATAGTGACTCTGTAAGGGTTTCCGAGGAGCAGTTGGTGAGTTCGAACCACTGACCCTGTGGTTCAAACTGACCTTTCGATCCAGTGCTTATCTGACATTGCCACACCAAACTCAGACCTTCTCAGTGCCCCCATTTCTCAGTGTGCCCATTTCATAGCTCCAGAGGTGAATTCCTAAAATCATGCAAACATGTCATTAAAAAGTACTTCTGGACTTGGGGTTGGGGGATGGGGCAGATACAACAGGTTCATACAAAAACAATGGATTTGTCCACAAACCTTTGAAGACCCCTTGTACATCGCCATGGATAAAGGGTCGATGAGACAATTTGTGGTCAAGCAGGGTTCTATTTCTATACAGCACTGTGGGGAGTACCATAGTTAAGTACTGGTGGGCTCGAAGACCCCACTTCTAGTCTCACCTGTGGGGTTTTTGTTTGTTAATAATAACAAGAAAGCACAATGCCCAAGCCTAGCCTGTTGTTTGACTGTTAGAAAAGCAGTGTTTTGAAGGCACAAGCTTTAAAGATCATCACCGGGTATTGGTCTAGATGTACCAGCATAACCTCTGTGGAATCTAGAAATACGAACTCCACTGGAATTGAAAACAGTCCACAAAACTCGAAATGAGAAACAGACAGCAGGTTCACTGGGCCAATAGAGTCTGGTAAGCCCAAGACTCGGGCCGTTGGTCACCCTTCAGGCGTGGAACTGAGCTCACCCTCTGTGGCTCAACCTTCAGTCAAACAACCAACGGGCAGGTGAGTAAGTTGAGTAACAACACCAGGAGTAGGTACACACTCCTCCTTAAACAGTCAACCTCCGAGATGAGCAGGGCAGCGTGTACCCGGGATAAGTCTCAGAAGGTAGGAAGGGGCAGGAAAGGAGGGGAATGGAAGCGGGACACACAGGGAGGAAGTGGGAAGAGTGTTGTCAATGGCACCAAACAACAAAATGTGTGTGAGTCGTGGGATGGAAAACCAACTTGCTCTGTACACTTTTCATGCAAACCTTTTATATATATATATATTTTACAAGTTAAAAATAAAACAAAACATGATGATTTTTGTAGGTTAAAATGAAAGTCTTCTCAGATCTCTGATTCTCCCTAATGTCTCTCAAGATGTTTGCTGTGTTCCCATACTTGGGGGTGCTGGCAGGGTTCTTCCTCTCATTGTGTTTCTCCTGCCTCATGACAGATCGCCCTCTACATCTGGGACAAAGGTGATGGACCGCCCCTCACCCCAGTGCCCGAGCTCTGTACTGACGATGCGGGCCCCCACTGTGCCACCACGTTCCACTCATTCCTCCCGCTTTGCGTAAGTGAGAGTGGCTCAGGTATCAGGGCAGGAGGTGTAGGCTGTGGTGGTTGTCTCTTGGTTCTTTACATCCGTAGAGCTGAGCATCTTCTCTGCCAAGCCAGAGCCCCGTGTCAGCTGTTGACCACCCTGTGTGGTAAGAGCTGCAGCCGCCCCACCCCACAGGTGAGAAAAGAGACACTGCTCCAAGCGATGCCACTAGCAGGGAGTAGGGAGCCGTGACTCGTAGGGTTCATTCCTGCTACTGTTGCGTGTCAGCCATAGCTCCTCACATTGCATGCACCCAGAGTCCTTGTTCTTTTGATGATACAGTATATATATATAT